CAAACAAATGATATCATTTCACGGATGGACACGATGGCAAGCCAACGAATCGACGGTCCTTGCAAGTCGTATATCCTCGGATGACGACCGGACAAGAGGCGAAAGCACGGTTCACGACGGCTGCACGGAGCACATACGATGGCAGAATATCCGAAGCATCACCCGCATCTGGGAAATTTTACACATCCTTGGGGGAAAATGAACGGAAAAGAATCACAAAAACGAATATGAAAACTCTTCACTTTGCGTTCAAAAAAGGGGTAGACTGTCCACACGACGGCAAGAAATACGGGAAGACAGCAGTGAGGCGCCGAATAGCATCACCCGTAAGACGAAGCACCGTGCAGATAATTTCGCATATGCAAGTCGCGTCGCGTTTGTGATGGACATGCGTTGCACAACATGCGTTGTGACAGACTCGTGGAAGGATCAGCAGAGCTATCACGAATGCTCGCAAAACTGCGCGAGCACAAGTACGGAGCATTTACAATATACGTCGTACCAGCACTGACCGACTATGAAGCTTTTGCTTTGCTTTCGTACCTTTTCCGCCTCTTTTCTTGTACTCACGTATGCCGTACGCCGTACGCCGTACTCCTATGGAGAACAGCTGTCAAACAGGTCATGAGGCCATGGCATGGGCTCTCCGCCTTTTCCACTCATTCTTTTCGGTACACGTCGTCCAGATTGACCGGCACCTTCCGTACGTACAACGCAACAATACTTTGTAAGCTGACTTTATCCATCTGCAGCATGCATTTCCCTCCTTTTGCGTCTGAATCGATCGCTGCTGTGCAGGACGCAGCGTGTTCCTTTTTGTTGTGTCAGCCTGCAGATTTTTTTTGTTTTGGTTAAAACGTACGCACTAATACCAGTCCATCCATTTCCTATTCTGTCCCATCAGACTCTGTACAGGGCCGTAATACTTCGTACAGGTCATTACACCGTACTTTTGTGCCGACCAGCATAGCGTGCTGTAGATTTCCCCTCCCAGTGCTCACACCCCGACTGCCTACTAAATATGGAGTAATTACTCCGGACCTCGTGTTGCCGTCGAAAAAACGAGGCTCTCCTGTTCATCCCTTGGTTCCTCGTCGCCGGTAAAACGGCAAACGGTAGCAACCAACGGCAACTACCGTTGGCGCTATTTTCTCTCCTGTTGCATAATCGCAACCGTTTGTGTTGTCATGACCGCAGCTCCACAAGCAAGAAAAGGACGGCGATTGTGCGAGATGATTGCTGTTTTTTTGGCCTCGTACGTTTGCCGCCCCCTTTCATCTTTTTTTTTGTTGCCTACTCCCCTCTCTTCTTCCTATTTATCTCTCAAGAATAGCAAAAACGACAACAGCTTCATTGGCGTCATCCGTGAACGACCTCCATTTGTCTGTGCGGCAATGCATTCTGACCATGCTTGGGCAAGTCGTAGACTACTTTTACCGTCTGTTAGAAACTGATTTTGTTTTGTTCGTGTCTGTTGATTCCTTAACCGTCTGCGCCTCGGCCTGGACCGCATGGTCCATTTGCTGGCTCTCGCGACTCCCGCAGCTATTTCCGTCTTGGCCAGGCTGGTTCGATTTGGTCTACGATGTACACACTATTGCCTTTTTTTTTAGACCTCTTTTTCCATCTGCAGACCGTACCAATTAACGGGGAGACGAGTCAGGACCGCTTCCCACAGTAAAACGGGGCCGCACAACAGGAAAAAGGAAAGAAACAGAGGGGCCTGACAAGGGTTCCCCTGCACTGGACCCGAATCCCTGGTCTATGGAGCAGTAAAGAGGAAAAAGTGAAAAGATGGGGCCAGACGAGAAGGGGGATGCAGAAAAAAAATACAAGAAAAATGAAAGAAAGCAGGGCGAAGTGGGAAACGAGGGAAAGCAAAAACTAGAGGAACCAGGACGGGAATCTTCAAAGTCGGGTGAAAGCTGATAAGCAGATAGGCCGATAGCCTACGGCCGACCGGAACCCAAGGCACACTTGCCTGTGTTCCAAAAAAGAACAAAGACCTGTAGTACGTCGAAGAATGTATATGAATCAAGAAATCCAGAAAGCAATACAGTAAGACCACAAAGGTGCCTCATCTCCCTGTCTCCTTTTCTTTACTGGTCCTTTTCGGCTGCGAGGGGGGCCTTGATTCTGTCAAATTTATTCTGTAGTTGGCCCATGCTTTCCGAAGAGCTGGAGTCGGGTCTGTGTTCGGCCACAGCGACAAGGAAGACGACTACACAGAAGAAACGATAAGCAAGGCAGTTGGCGTAGCAGGTCGCAATTACCAAGGCCATGGGAGGTGGATGCCAAAAAGAAGAGGCATTCCTGCTCCGTACTACCACCGCCGTGGTTTTGAGATGTATCACAAAAGAGGGGAGACTTGAGAGGCAAAACCCACACTCGCGGTCCCAAGAAGGAAAAGAGGGCCGCAGGTCATTCCCGAATTCTGGGACCAGTGTTGCAGCGCTTGGAGATTGGTGGGTGGTTACGCTGGTCTCTGGTGTATGTGGTGTGTTTTCGGGACTTTTATGGTCCGGTGTCCTTTAACTTGCCGACGAAAGAGGAGAGCTCGCAATTCTACACGAAAACACGAAAGAGACGACCGACGAAACGACGAAAAGATCAAGCAGAGTGTGGTATTTTTTTCTCCCTCTATTTTACTTTTTGTTTTTGGCGCTGTGCTTGGACGCTTTTTTTACGTATTTTCTTCAACCGATCGCGCACGACTAGGTCGGGGGGGGATCGACGTAAAAGTCGTGCGAGCTCGCGGCCTGTGAACGCGATCGACCACAACCTTCTCAGGCTTTCTCGCTTCTTGCTTCTTGCTTTCAAGACGTTGGGCTTTCAGTGAGGAGTTCTCCAACGATCCAATAACAGGTCGGGTTTCACCGAGACAAAAGTCCCTTGCACGTGAGTTTTGACGATGCCCAACAGAGGGCAATCATCGGCCACTTTTTTTTGTTGCGTACTTTTGTGTCCCTGTTTGCGTACTTTTATTTTGTCACTGACCTTTCCGCCATGGTTTGACAAAGTCCTGTGCATATCTGCCCTATGCTAGGACCGAGCGTGACAGCAAGACGAACAACAGACTGCCGACCCAAGCACACCATTCATCAAATGTTTCGATATCGATCTCTTGGGAATGAACATTCGCACATTGCACATCGCACATCGCACCCTGCTTCATCTCGCCTCACGTCGCCTCACCTTACTTGACCTTACCTCACCTGCGAGCATACCTAATGTCACACTCGGGTACCAACTGACCATGGGTGTCGATATTACGGCGAGGCCCTTTGGAAAGTCGACAAAAGGTCGTCTGTTGGCCATCGTAAAACCCTTTTCACTCATATTTCACCGTATTAATTACCTGCCAGCCTCAGTACATGTACTTTGTATCTTGCCTGAACTTGTCCATTGCGCCAACCGTTGGCAACAGTTTGGAGAAATTTCAGGGCCCGGACAAGGTATCCGGCACACCCGGACGAAATGTGTGGCAGTGTCCATCTGGTCTTTGTCTTTCTTTGCTTTTTGTCTTTTGTCACAAGCGGCTTGGTGACGTTATGCCCGTTGTGGCTGTTGGACCTGTTGGTCAGGGCGTCTTTGGTTCCGGGAGCGCCCCTGAACGTGCTAAAACCTAAGCGATGTCCCCAAAACGTTTACACCTCCCAAACTAGTTCAGGCACAGACCGTGGTGGGTTTGTGGGTGCCGTGAGACGACCTGGACGTTGGAAAGGGTGTACTTCCATTTATATTATTGTTATGTGTGGCTACAAGTACCTCTCCTAGCCTTGTTGTGTATTTTTTTTTTTTTTTGGTCATTTCTTTTGTCTCACTTTGGGCACCCTGGCAGAGTATTACGTGTAATAGAGCAGGGGACAGACCACTCATCCGGGGAACATGCATTTCATTCCGCCCAACTTGCAACGTGATGGGAAATAGACGCTCTGAGCCGCTGGCAGTCCGTGGGCCACACACCTTTGAGTCGCAAAATTGATACGAAAATCAATTCGAAAATCGATACATAAATATGTTCATGAAAGTGATTGACTTTGACGACACAGACGAGTTCCTGGTTGTTGGGTCCAGTGGAGGATGAGCATACCAGGTTGCCGGGATGTCTTTCTTGAAGCTCAATGGGGGGCTTTTTTATGCTCTGAAGCCACGGTCGAATACCCGTTTGATGAGCAGAAGGGGGGATGCTATCTGTATCGGACCGTGGTTTGCAATCGCCTTACTGCCCGCCACTGTGGCACAAACCTGTTAAACTGAAAGTCATTCCAAGATGCCCAACCCTAGGTACCACATCCTCTTCAGTCGTTGGCATTATGTGCGCCGTTCGTGTCATGTACAAGTCGGGCACCCGATGAAAGGCTCTGTCCTCACCTCGGTAGTGCCGTGGCGGAGAATGGTGGTTTGATAAGTTGAAGCTAAACGCGACAAGATGCTACTTGAGTTGTTTTGTACTTGAGAACTATATGGAGGTATAAAAATGGAATCGCAAACAAGAAAGGCAAGCGTAACGATGAATTTATTTATTTAATTTTAATTTTAAGTTTTTTTTTTTTTTAAAAAAAAAACCATAGACACCCCTTAAATAGCGAGTCGTCGAAGAAAAAGACAAATAAAAGACTCAAATCATTCGATACCAAATCCTTCGCACGCGACACATGCAGTAGAGGTACAGTGAGTGCAGCAATGTTCAATATTGAGATGCATGGAAGATAATCGCGCTGCTTGACTCTGACGGCAAGATTCTTACATATGACTGGACAACCAAGGGGCCGCCTCAATGGGCCGCTGGGGTAACCGCGGGACCTGAGGAACAAAACACAGAGCAACTTGTAAACGACGTTCTCGCGTCTGCGCTTACCGCTTGTGCAGTGCGTTCCACGGTCGCGGTCGACGTCGGAAAAGGCTCCGTCTAGATCACAATATATAATACTGAGAGAGGACCAGGGACAGCACGCATTTGACAAGTTTGTCACACCACTGCTCAATGCCTATTGGTAATGACTATGCCTCTCACCAATACCCGGCGAGAGAAGGATTTCTTGCGGCCGATGTTCCTGGCCCTTTCCCCTCTCTTTCTTGTCTGTGGACTGCCTTGGGCTTGGGCTTGGGTTTGGGCTTGGGTCGCCAAGGCCCCCAGTCCAATTTCTAACAACGAGCGCCCAAAGTGGAGGAGGTCAAATAAAAACAAGAACCACTACCGGAAGAGCGAGGGCCTTCCCGAGCTCTAACCAGAATACCCGTCTCCTTCGTTATCGAGAGTCTGTGGGGGCATATCGAACGATATTTTTCTTGTCGCTACAGTTGTGTGTTTTTGTCAATCAGAATATCGTGTTATTGTCTCCTCTTTGCAGCGACGGTCGTTCTGCACGGGAGCATTTTGAGTCTTTGACGAGCCATACCAATTCAGAGTGCGAATAAAAAATAAAGAAGAAAAAAGGGCACGAGCGGACAAGTGGATGGTTCAAGAGATACGAAGTAAAGGAAGAGACGAGAAACAGGAGACAACAGACAGTACAACTGGACAAAAGTGTCAACGAGCGACATAGCCGAAAAGGTGCAACAGTCGAGATGAAAAGCCAGTTTTCTTTTTGCTCGATTGGGGCTGGGCAACGTCGCAGCAACGCAACGCTGGCCACCGGTGACAGCTCGAGGTGGGGCAGCCGGGCAGGTGAAAAGACAAGACAAAAAAAAGGAAAAAAAAAGGAAAAACGACGGTGGCAGACGCAGCTCTGGCTTGGCAATGCGACGCTGGGAAGATACCGGCCTTTGCCGGCCCCTGGTTCTGCTCTCTTCCCCCACCGACCGTTAAATTGGGGCGCAAACTGGAGGCAGAGTCAAAGGCGGTAGACAAGCGACTACCTGACAAGCACTACCACAGTACTGTGTAAAGGGAAAGATCGGCCTGAACGGAGAGCGACAAAAAGCCGAAAGCGCAACGGCCAGTGGATGGGCAAATTCAACGGCAGGAACGAAGCGCAATTGGTACCGAGAAGGACCTTACAGCAACAGGACTACAAATACACCGTAGTACCAATCGACGATCCTCGTCGTATTTGCAGATATTTTTGCATATTACGCCGTCAGGACGGATATACGAAGCTCTGGTCTTTGCACTGTTTACTTTACTGTCGCCTTCGCTTTGCACTTTTTGCAAGTTCCTTTTGTCGCCTCCTGCATTTTGCTGAGGTGCGACGTGCTGGTACGCTAACGGTGGAAACGCGGTGTGGTTCGTGCCTGCCTTTGTCTTTTTTAGGCTAGCGCAGCAACCGCTTGCCCCTTTTTCAAGCTGGCAGGCTGGCAGGCTGGCCATTTATTTTTGGGGGCCTGTTCTTGCGCTTTCCGTGGTGATTCCGTATTGTGACGGAAAGGACGGTTCTTGCAGTTTGGAGAAAGAACGGTTCGGTCACACCTGCTGTGTTACGAGCCGTTGTCCACCCGTTTCCCAGGTCGATTCCGCTCTTTCGCTTTGACGCTGGGTTGCCCACAGCTGCGTATTCACCGGTTGTTCACTGGGAAAGGAAAGCGCTACCCGTCCCGCGTCCCAGCACCGTCAGGCCACGTACTTCGAGCACAAGTGCAATGTACTTTGTATCTTGGGAAGATGCGGTGCTAAAGGGATCGAAAACATGGAAACTCTCCCAAACTACGTTAATGCTGGGGATGCTGTGGGTATCAGGCCATCAATATCTTGCAAAACGGACGCACGAGTCCAGAGGGTCCAGAAGCCAATCGGCCCCTACACAACCACAACACGACAACAGAAACAAGTAAAAAACAAGACACTAAACCTTCTGGACTGCTGGCTGGGACAGGAAAGAGCCACCCGCACCCCCCTTTTCCCCTCCTTTTTCCTCATCTGTCCGTTGGACAATTTGGGTGCTGTGTACACAAACCACACGGTGACCCGTTCTTTCCAACTTCTGTGTTGACGGTGTCCGTTACGGCAGCGTCATTCAGTCCACAGAGTCACGCCTTCCCGTTTTTCTCCAGTTGTTTTCACTGACTCGTTCTTGGGCCTGGCTCTGTCCCTCTTGTTTGCTCCTGCCTTTGGCAGATGGGTGGTGATGTCCCAATTGAATGCCCGTGAGTGCGTCATATGTGTAGAACGATCTTTCCTCGTCAGTGCCTACCTGTAAATTGTATCGAACCTACCAAGCCGTCATCAGCTATTCTGCTCGTCCTTTTGGCTTCACAGTTGCTCCAACCTGCGGGGCCTGCATTCCTGTCTCTCCATCGCACCCGATCTACGGACGCTCGCGCTCTCCCTCCATCCCTCGCTCCCTCCGCCTGTGGGCTTATGCGCACTCCTGTACTTCGTACACTACGCTCCCTGCTTCCCTTGCTTCGCTCGCCCTGCCCTTCTCCAGTGTCTAATTCGCCCTCCCACTCAGAAACATACGCTGCATCGTGCGTCGACAGGCACCAGCGGCCGACACTCGCCGATACATCTCTCCGAGTGCTCCGCTTGCCGATCGGCCGGCTCATAGAATACAACCAAAGTACATCCTTCGATCGAAAGGCTGCCAATAAAGCGCCTGACAGCGAGGATCCAGAACAGAACTAATTGCGAGACTACACTCAGACAAGACACATCATCACGCACTGTCGATTACGCCAGAGCACAAGGTACGACGGTGCGGAGTCCATCTGGTCGGTTTTGAGTTTGTTTGTGTGTGTTGTCCGCGCTCCCTTTGCCACAACATGTGATGTGTCTTGTTTCTGGGGCTTGCCAGACTGCGATCGTCTCCGTCTGTCCATTTTGGCAGACGCTTGGTTGCATTAACAGCCCGTCCGTGATAGGGGGGGCTTGTCCATACAAGCAACCCAGACGCACTACCCTCGAACCCTCGAGCACCGTTGCATTCTCGCTCCTCGCTTGCTCTTAAACCTCACTGACCCCGTCGTCCGCTGTCACTCATTCCGTCTCTTTCCCCTCTTTTCGACCTCACCGATTTGTTGTCGACCTGCCTGCTTTGCTTGTCGATTCCGCGGCCGCCTTGACAAATCCAGCCTCTTTTTCTAGTCTCAAGTCTCGCCTTGTCGTCTTGTCCGTCAGCGGCCACTAGGGATAGTTTTGGCTCATGACACGTCCCGACGAAACGGAACACACTTGCCTCTGAGTGTTTACCGTCGGCTCGACACCCTGCTTTTTCTGCATTGGGCGCACATCTTCTGTGACCATCAGGTAGGCAAACGTTTCCGTCTCTTTCCAGTTTTTTCCAGAGTCCCACTGAATACCTCCGTCATTGCCTTGCCTCATCTTGTTTTGGTGCTCTCTTTTGAGAACCACCACGTATCCGCACACTCGTCTGCATTGCACCTTGGCACTTGGGGTGGATATACCCTCCCCCGAAACGTCGAGGGCCAGGGGACGCCCCTGTCTTACACCAACGGGCGGAGCTTGCCCAGGGGATCCTCTTGCGAAGCTTGCCCACAACCTCACGCCCCATCCAACCTCAACCGAGCTTTTCTCTGCGTCCCACGCCCAAGCACACGCCCCCATACACAAGTATGGCCCACTACTCTCTGTTGTGTCGATGCGCTACCCACTTACCCACGGCGTGGTTCTCGAGTGGTCTCCCTCATAAGCGCACTCCCACCCTCTCTTGACATTCTTAACAATCCCTCTGCGCCTCTTGGACTTCCACTTCCACTTCCTCTTGAACTTTGGTCTCTGCCACCAGCTTCTACATTCCTCCGCGTCTTTTTTCAGCTCCCTTTTCCCGCCCTACGGCCTATCCCTTTCTTCTTTCTTTCGACGCTGCTTCATCTCGCGTTTGCATTCCAGGCGACGACTTTCTTCGAGCCGACGCGCATGTCGGGTCTGGACCGGGGCTGATCCAAGTGAATTTGAAGGTCTTTTTTGCTTTTCCAAACATACGACAACCGTCGGCGTACTCATCGACGTACTCATCAGCATTCTTTCGACGGCACTTTCTCGCGCTCTTTCTCTGCCTCGACGGCAAGTACGATCAATCACACTATCCAACAAACAACATACAGTGACGCTTCATATTCATCCTGCTCGTCTTATTCGAATTGAACGACACTCATGGTGCTGGCCTCATCGACCTTCCAGCAGCAATGGCTATGCTGAGTGAACATCCCATGCGTACGAGCCTTTCCGTGGCTCCTCTCTCTTTTCAAAAACACTCCTTTTCGACGACCTCTTCAAACGACGATGGCTATCTGAGCGTCTACCCTCACCACGCGGAATCGTCTGCATCTTCCACCACTCTCTCTGCATCTACCGTAACCAGCAAGGTCTACAGCAACTCACAAATGACTCCGCCAGCAACACCGAATGGCTCCAACGAGAGCTTGCCACACGGCGACCACCCGCGGCAACAATCGACGGCAGCAACCGGGACAGCTGTAACGACTGCATCAGCTTCGCCGCAAGACTACTCCCAGGACCACGCGCAGGAGTATGCGCAGGAGTATACACAGGAGTACGCACAGGAGTATGCGCAAGACTACCACCACAACGAGAACTACATTTACACGTCGCCGTCAATGGTCGACCCGCCACCAGTGTTCCACAACTTCTTGCGCGCCTACTATGCTTTCCACCCGAGCTATTCCCCAGCTGACTCGACTGTCACCCTGCCGATGAACGAGGGCGACGTGATCTTGGTGCATTCCATCCACACGAATGGCTGGGCCGACGGCACCCTCCTGGCCTCCGGTGCCCGCGGCTGGTTGCCGACCAACTACTGTGACGCCTACGACCCGGAGGAGATGCGCAATCTGTTGAATGCGCTCCTCAACTTCTGGGACCTGATGCGCAGCACGACCGTCAACGACAACGAAATCTTTGGCAACCAGGAGTTTATGAAGGGCATCATCGCCGGCGTACGCTACCTCTTGGAACGGACAAACTGTCTGACGCGCGAGTCGGCTGCGGTCCAGCGCCATGATGGTCTCCGCCGCGGCCGCAAGTCGCTGCTTTCAGAGTTGTCGTCGCTCGTCAAGTCGGCCAAGCGCCTGCAAGACCACCAGCGTTCCACCAGCTCGACCGAGAATGCCAACGACATCATCGACGAGATGATCCTCAAGGCCTTCAAGATTGTCACCAAGGCTGTTCGCTTTTTCGACGTCTTGGAAGACGACCGCCGCCAGCGTGCACCGACAGTGGCTGTTATGGCGACTGTGCTGGAGGAGAACTCGGTGCCGCCAACGCCGCCTGCCGATGCCATCACCTTCCGTTCCGGCACCAACCAGAACGCTGGCACTGACGGGCAAAGCGATCATGTTATGGTCGACAGCAATGCAGTCGACAGCAACAACAACAACGACAACGACAACAACGACAACACTGTGACACTCTCTAGCTCTGCGCCCGCGGGCTTGAGCATGCCCGCCTCGGCGTCGACCCCGCTGTTGTCTGCGTCAACAGCAGTGGCACCAGTAAACAAGCGGCTGTCTAGCATCGCTGCTAGCTACCACAACCGTCTCTCCCAGACGACACCGCTTGTCAGCCACCGTATGTCCTCGTCGAGCATTTCTCATCGTGTGTCGCTGGCGGGACCCTCGTCTCTCTCCCAACCCCAGAACCTGGTGTCCAACCGGCTGAGTGACCGACACGACACGTTCTTGTCCTACCTGGGCTCGTTTATTGGCCGTCTTCACCTGCAGTCGCAGTCTCGCCCGCACCTGGCCCTCGCAATCAAACAATCGGCTACTTCCGGCGGCCAGCTCCTTGTGGTGGTCGACGTTGTCTCTGCGCACAATGCTCTCAGCCGAGAAATTTTGCTGAAATCTCGTGGCGCCATGTGCGACCGCATTGTCGATCTCGTGTGCCTTGCCCGAGACATTCTGACGAACCCCATGCCGGACGTCGAGGATGTCATCATGCCCCAAGACAATGGCCGTCTCCTGAGCGCCGCCACCGACTGTGTCAAGGCCACCGGTGAGTGTGTCGCTAAAACGAAGTGGGTCATTGAGCGCATTGGCGATTTCGAGTATGAATTTGATGATGCCACTCTCGCGTTTGACCTTGATCTGTCTGTCTTGGACGCTGCGGCTGCCGAGAGCACGGTCCACAGCCCCCTGGACACGTCTGCGCCGCTTGTCGAAGACGAGCGGCCGCAGACGGCCGGCGGTTCAGCGAGCGTTGTCGACTCGGTTGTCTCCTCGTCAGTCTCTGCGGCGCCTGCTTCTGTGGCCACCTTCTCTACTTCCCTTACCAGCAACCACGAACCGAATTCTTCCGTTGACGCCACGACGGCCTCTGCACCCACCTTTTCCTCCGCCAACTCGTCCCCCAGCAAGCGCACTACGCGTTCCACGCCCTCCATCGACAAGCCGCTGCCTGAAGTCCCCCAGGGCGTTACGTCGCCGATCGAGGAGAAGCGCTTCTCCCACCACCGGCGCTCTCTTTCCATTGCCGCCGAAGACAGCACCAGCTCCATGAACAGCAACAGCATGGCCACGGCGCCGGCTCCCGAGGTGTTTATTCGCCCGACACTGCCGCCTCTGCGGCGCATTTCGACGCTGCTGCCCAACGACGACTTCAGCCCAATCGAGCCGTCTGCGAACAACGACGGCGAGTTCACCTCGTCGTTCCGTTCCGAGAGCCTGACGGCTCTGAGCTCTGGCACAACCAGCACGTACGCTAGCCGCGATTCGGAGTCCAGCCTTGTATCGCAGTCCTCGACGCGCGCCACAACACCCGAGATGGCCAACAACGGCCCGAAGAGCCAGCCGTCTCTGTCGGACATCAGCATGACGGGTAGCGGCACGCTCATCGAGGATGGCGAGGAGGATGTTGAGTCGAAGCTCCTCGAGCGCACCTACGCGCACGAGCTGATGTACAACAAAGAGGGCCAGGTTACCGGTGGCTCGCTCCAGGCTCTCGTGGAGCGCCTGACGACACACGAGTCCACCCCGGACGCCATGTTCGTGTCGACGTTCTATCTGACGTTCCGCCTGTTCTGCACACCCATCAAGCTGACCGAGGCCCTCATTGACCGCTTCGAGTACGTCGGCGAGTCGCCGCACATGGCCAACCCGGTTCGCCTCCGCGTGTACAACGCCTTCAAGGGCTGGCTCGAATCGCACTGGCGCGACGAGACGGACCGTGAGGCGCTGGCCTTTATTGTCCCCTTTGCCGAGCACAGACTGGGCCTCGTCCTGCCTTCTGCTGGCCGCCGCCTGCTTGAGCTGGCGCAGCGTGTCAGCTCCAGCGACGTCACCCTGGTCCCCCGCCTGGTGTCGTCCATGGGCAAGACGAACACGTCCATCTCGCAGTACGTTCCTCTCGAGACGCCTCTGCCGCCCACAAACATGTCCAAGAGCCTGCAGCACGGCCTGTCCAACTGGAAGATGGGCGGCACCGCCCCCATCATCATGGACTTTGACCCGCTCGAGTTTGCGCGGCAGATCACAATGCGTCAGATGAGCATTTTCTGCGCCATCATGCCCGAGGAGCTTCTCGGTTCGCAGTGGATGAAGAAGGGCGGCCGGGACTCGCCCAACGTCAAGGCCATGACGGCTCTGTCGACGGACCTCTCCAACTTGGTGGCCGACACCATCCTGCAGTACCCCGAGGTCAAGAAGCGTGCCAGCGTCATCAAACAGTGGATCAAGATTGCACACCAGTGCTACGAGCTGCACAACTACGATGCGCTGATGGCTATCATTTGCAGCCTCAACAGCTCGACCATTAGCCGTCTCCGCCGCACGTGGGATGTGATCTCGCCCAAGCGCCGTGAGATGCTCAAGATGCTGCAGGCCATTGTGGAGCCGGCGCAGAACAACAAGGTCCTGCGCGGCCGCCTGCACGACCACGTGCCGCCCTGCCTGCCGTTCCTTGGCATGTACCTGACGGATCTGACGTTTGTCGACATTGGCAACCCGGCGACCAAGCAGCTGCCTGGCCAGGATAGCGGCGAGCCCAATGGCGCCGGCTCCAACGGCTCGGGCATGACGGTGGTCAACTTTGACAAGCACACGCGCACGGCCAAGATCATTGGCGAGCTCCAGCGCTTCCAGATCCCATACCGCCTGATTGAAGTCCCGGACATCCAGGACTGGATTGCCAGCCAGATTACGCGTGTGCGCGAACTCGAGACGCCCGGCAACAACATGCAGGTGTCCTACTACCGCAAGAGTCTGCTGCTGGAGCCGCGCGAGAACCAATCGGCGATCAAGTCGGTGGTGGACGCCGGCACATCGGCCGCTTCCACGGCGGCGCCTTCGATCAAGGAGTCGTCTTCGTCTCGCACCGACCTCTTTGCCTGGATGCGCGGTGGCAATGCCAACAATGCAGCCAACAACGCGTCGAACGGCGCAAACTAATCTTACCAACACACATACACACTCTCTCCTGTCTCCTCCCTCAACTTTCACCGTTTCTTTCATTCTATTACATCTGGCCCATTTTGCATCGTTCTACGCCTTCTAAATGATACCCATTTTCTCTTTATTTTCTTCTTTCCCTTACTTCTCCCCTAAACTCGCCACCCTTCCGATTCGATCCTTCCTTTCTGTTGTTTTTATATTTGGCTCTGATCATGGCTGTTACGCCTCTACATGTCATATCATATGTATTGCTCACGGCCGCATTCTCTAGCAGACTTTTTCTACTTTTTTCTTATCTCCTTTCATTTTCCTATTTACCTTTTTTCTTTTCTTTTATACAGCTCATTGCACATGGTTTCTTCTGCGGGCAACCGTCTGGGACTTTTTGACAAGATCAAAGAGCTTCGGAGCTCGGCAGCTGGGAGCGCTTCTTTTGTCCCCTCTTTCTGTCATTGTATTTTTGGGTTTGGTGGCGCGCTTTGGTGTGTTCGGCAGGGAAAAAAACAACTATGGGGAGTTTTTGCTGCTTTGTTTTCATCCATCTTTTGTCTCTTATATATTCGGGTGTCTGATACTGGGCGCCGGGGTTATCGACCCCCTTTCAGGATTCTTTTTTCCATTCCTCCATCTTACTTTGGACAGGCCCAAAACCAAACGAATGGGATACAAAACGGGGAAACCCACCTCGGGAAAAAGCAAACAACTGCTGCTACTATACACAACTGTCAAAATAGTGTGCTGGCTTGGATACCGGGTTCGCACCCGCCAGCTTCAGCGAACAAATGGTTCTAACTAAAATTAAATTACGTTACTATATAAACTTTTCCCGTGCATTGAGAAGTGAATAATGCGTGCTGCAAGTGAATTTGGTAGTCTGCCTGTGAGCAGCACAGACACGGCGTAGTACAGTGAAATGACCTGCTTTGGCAGTGCTTGTGGCCCCTTTTTGGCCAGGCCTTATCTGCAGATTTGGCGGGAGGCAGTTGCCTGCAAGGCACTGTCACATATTGGAAGGACACACGATCAATTGGGTCCCTATGTAGATAGCACGTGCCGCGTCGGGTTAGCGGGTCGAAAGAGGAGAACAGCGCAGATTACCATCCTTCTGCATGTGCTAACAATGCGAATTTCCCTTTCTCCTCGGGGAACCGCATGTGGCTCTCGTCTCTCCCATTCTTCGTCTTGTTAAATCTGGCAACCCCCAATGTCTCTACGGCCCCTTTTTGCATCTTCTGGCGTACTCTCCTTTACTCTCTTTTTCTTTTTTTTTCTTCTTTTTTTTCAATGTTTGACGCATTGTAGGTTTCTATGTCATTCTGCAGACATCCACTTGGATCTTGGATACGACGCAATTACAGCGGATTGTCGACGACACACTACTTGATTGACGGCCATTGATCTCCGAACCGATGCTGAATGGCCAGTTGTCTTCCATTGTTGACGCTTTTTCACCTTCTCGCTTCATCACGCATGCTAGCTGCAATTTTCATTCAATTTATATATACGGTATGGCTTGTGGCACTCCTTCCCCCTTATCTCTTTCCACCCTGCTATTTACTTGACGTATCCTGGATGCCCTGAAGGTGTCGTTATGTCGTTTCCACGAGTTCTGTCCTTTCCTTTGTTCCCGTGTCCTTGGTCCCGTCGGCCCCTCCCGTGAGGGGTACCGTCTATTTCCAGCCGTTGAACTTGAGCATGCTGCCCTGCTCGTCCAGCGCGCGGTGCAGGTCAAAGGCCTGGTACAGCAGGTGCGGCTCGTGGCCCATGCCGCGCTTCAGGCAGTACGCGTCGGCCTTGTCGAGGTAGTCGCTCAGGATGGGCTGGTACAGCGGGTGGGCGCACTTCTTGACGATGACGCGGGCGCGCTCGCGGGGGCTGAGGCCGCGGACGTCCGCCAAGCCCTGCTCGGTGACGACGATGTCGAGGTCGTGCTCGGTCTGGTCGACGTGCGTGCACATGGGCACGATGCAGGAGATGCCGTGGGGGTCGGACTTGGAGGGGCGGGCGGAGGGGGTGTGCATGATGGAGTACTTGGCGTTGCGCAAAAAGTCGGCGGAGCCGCCGAGGCCGTTGAGCATGCGCGAGCCGTTGACGCAGGTGCTGTTGGCGTGGGCGTACAGGTCGACCTCGACGGGGGTGTTCATGCCGATGACGCCGAGGCGGCGGATCAACTCGGGGCTGTTGGACACCTGCTGCGAGCGCAGCAGCAGCCGGTCCTTGTACGACGCCCAGTTGGCGTAGAAGCGCTTGAAGCCGTCGGGGGAGAAGCGGATCGACGTGGCCGTGGCAAAGTCGAGGTGGCCCGAGTCAAAGAGGTCCAAAAAGGTGTCCTGGATGACCTCGGTCCACACCTTGAGGTGCCAGAACTGGGCGTTCTGCAGGCCGCCGATCACGGCGTTGGCAATGTTGCCGATGCCCGACTGCAGCGGCAGCAGCGACGGCGGCAGGCGGCCGTGGCTGACCTCGTGCTCAAAGAACTCAATCAGGTGGCCGGCGATCTGGGAGGCGGCCGCGTCGCCGGGCGCGTTGGGCAGCGTCTGGTCCTGGTAGTCGGACTCGACCACGCCAATGACCTTTTCGGGGTCGAGCGGGATCGACGTGGTGCCGATGCGGTCCTCGACGGCCGTGATCAGGTACGGCTTGCGCCGCGGCGGCAGGTCTGTCGTGGTGATGTCGTGCAGGCCCTCGAAGCTGGGCAGCGCCGTGTTGACCTCGATGATGATCTTGTCGGCCATCTGCATGAGCTCGGGCGTGGCGCCGACCGAGGCGCCCGGCACGATGCTGCCGTCGGCCAGAATGTCGGTGGCTTCGACAACGGCCACGTCGAGGCCGCGGTGGCCGTTGGGGCGGTCCTTGGTGTAGTAGCCGTACACCAGGTCGACGGGGAACATGGACAGGTGCTTGTCGAAGAACTTGATGGAGCCGTCGTTGATGCCCTTGGCGATGGACTTGCCGACCTGGTGCGGCGAGCGGCGCTCAATCATGTCGAGCGCCGCCCAGCGGTTCTCCGTCTCGGCGCCCGAGGACGCGCCGACAAAGAGGGAGTAGCGCAGCTGGCCCTGCAGGTTGTTCTTCTCGACGTGGTCGGCCAAGAACGTCGGGATCTTCTTGGGATAGCCGACGCCGGTGAAGCCGGACCAGCCCATGTAGGTGCCGTTGGGGAAGTGGTGCAGCAGGTCCTGCGGCTGGCACACCTTGGCGAGCATGGATGCGCGCTGGATGCGCGACTTGAGGGCGGCGGATGCCATGATGTGAGGAGGATGAGGAGAGGGTGGGAGGGGGGGGAGGGGAGATGGTCTGGGGTCTGGGGAAGACGAGAAGAGGACGAAAGAAAAGACGGGGAAAGGAGGAGACGAAGAAAGGGAAAGAGACGAAAAGGAGGGGAAAGAACAGAAGAGCAAAAGCAAAGGGAAAGAAAAAGAAAAGAAAAAGGAAACGAAGACCGTTCAGGGAGGCCAAATATAGCTTCAATGGGGATGGCGGAGAACAAGGCCGGCGGCACCGGTTTCGCGTGATATCGCAACGGCACTGGACAGCCCAATGCGTGATTCGGGAGGAGCTGGAGTGTGTGGTAAGAGGCACAGATTCAGGATGTCGGCGACGAAGGGCCGAAGACGCTCTTGTGCCGATTCCAACCCCCTTTTGTGGTTGATTTGTGATGGTTCCTGGTTCCTTCTTTGTTCGTCCGTATGACGGGTATCTTCACTTTTGCTTGGTCGTTCTTGCTGCCGCTGTTGCGCCGGCGCGTTGGACGCTAAGCAGACGTCATGTTCTTTGTAGTAAGGCAAGAGCCAACGGCCGACGTCGATTGGCAGCTTCGATGCTCCACACCAGCAACAGCAGCAGCACGGCTCTTCATTTGCCTTTTACCGAGCGGCAGCCGAACTAGATCCAGGCCACACCTATTTCTGGGCCGCTCACAGCACGCCAACTGGTGCAAAAGTCCCGTTCGTCCATTGCACCCTGACTTGACCCATGGGCCGTCTTGGACGAGGCTCTTATCGATATGAATACGAAGCAGGAAATGTTCTCGCGTTTGCCACTCTGATTGACACGCGAACACAATTTCAGCGAGGGGGGCAAAAGGCCCAAAGAATGACGAGTCAATTGGCATCTAGAGCGGAGGCGCTTGTAATTCCAGTGCACTGACTCTTTTGGCACGAATTTCGAGATCGGCTATGGATATGGATGACTTTGTCCCCATTGGCCAATCGCTGGCGTTTCTTTTCTTTGCATGTTTTGGCACTTCATCTTTGGTAATGCTTCCGTCCTAGTCTCGGACTTGTGTGCCTGGCTGGACATGACCCCCGTACTCCGTATCATCCGACATGCACAAGAAAAGAACAGCACGCAAACAAAGAATTGCTTTGCTTTTATTAATCGGCAGGTAGTAGTACTAAGAGAGGACTATGCCAGGTATCACAAAGAGAAAAGAAACAGTAACTTTGACAATAGGGAAAGAGGTATTTGAAAAAGGTCTCCCATGCCAGTGCCGGCAGACATGCAAGACGAAAAGAAGACAAAACAGCTCAGTTCAATGAGCCATCGCCATCCCAAGTCCCCAGCTCCGTTCCAGACACTGGCTTTTTGTTGCACACCTCGGTTGCATCCCATCAACATGCTCGGAAAGACAAGACAGGAGCAGATACACGAGAGAACAAGGCTGTCTTGTCCCACCACGTCGACCCTGCTTGTCCGCCTTTCCTGCTCCACACATCCCAGAAAATTCGGCAGACGACGCTGTTGCAGAAAAATCGTAAACACGTCACTTGAGAAATCGCAAAATGATTGTCATCGTCCGTCACGACACGGACAAGTGTCGGCGGCTTAAACGTCGTGGTGGACAGTCTTCTCCTGGAGCGCGCCAGGGGCCATGACGTCCTCAATGGTCTCGTCCGAGAACTTCAGGTCCTCTTCGATGGTGACCGTGTCCTTGATACGGAGCACGATCAGAGGCGCAGCGACGATGAGAGCGCCGGCAAGGAGACCCCACTGCA